CTATATAACGTGGGACTGCAAACAGAGCTACTTGTTGGGCTTCACTGCAGTGCGGAAAGGATCGTGCCCTGCCAGGCTCCGTCCCCACTTGCTCAGTTTGCTCTTTGCAAGTTCAGGTGCAAAGATCACGGGCCCAGCTGCAGCGAGGCGGCCTTGCCCTCGATAGTGCAACGTGCCGATCCTTCCTTTCAGTTCCTGAAGTGCTGACAATTTGAGCCCTCTTGATCTGCGGGATTCTGATGGGGTGATTTCAAAGGCCTTCTGATAAGCTAGAAAAAAATTGAAACTATTAGGTCACTTTAGCTTCCGTGGCTGAGTGACTTAAGCATTTAATTTAATAAGGAAACTGTAATTTGCATCTGTCCCTGCACTTTGTTTATCCACATGAAGAAATCCTGGGCAGCAGGTAGCATTAAGCCCTTGGAGGGGACAAGTTGGTGGTTTAGTTGAGTTGTATTATTGCTTTATTTTAGGTTGGTAGATTCTTTCCAGCATACTCTTGTTTAAAAATTACAATTGTTCATTAATTTAATTGGTCAGATATTTATTTATTCTGAAGATAGCTAATCCTATGTCTAGATTTAGCTTTGGGTATTATTTTAGACATCCTGAAGGGAAAACATGAGTAGTTGAGAGTGAGGAAGGGGTGTGGGGAAACAGATGAGAGGAGCTGCTTGACCTGGCACTGAGGCCTTGAAAAATATCTGTGTAATTGCTGCTTATATAGAGCCTTGCTTGTAAATATATCAGTGCTCAATGGTTTTGGTGTGTTTTTTGTGCTGGATAATTACAAGCTTTCCTTGATTTCTGTCTTTTTTTTAATATATGCTATCCCCTGTAAATCTGATGCCAGAGGTGTGACTGCAGAGTTTCTGTTCTTTTTGTTAAATCAAATGACTCTTTGGGAGTTTTCGTCTTGTAGCAAATTGCTGTGTTCTTTTTTCTTCTATCTCGTTTGGCTTTAGCAGACTAAATACAGGGCCTCTACTTGTCTGCGTTTTATTCTAATAGTAGAGTGCTCATGGAAATGATCAAAACATTTACTTAATGATTTTGATAGTAAATGTTTATGAGCTCCGGGGAAGGAGGTAAATGGAATTTGCCAGACTGAGAGGATTAAAAATGGAAATAGATGCACAGAGCACGTCAAATTTGAGGCGGGCAAAGTTAAAGCAGGAGTGCTGATGTGCTTTAGTTCCTCTTCTCTGGGATAAATGAGACAAAGTGGATGTCAGCGGTATTCCCCAGTCATATCCAGCCTTCTGTCCTCTTGATACTGCTGGATAAGCTTATCTGTTCAGCAATACACTAAGCTTAATAGGTCATAAAGGTAGCAAAGCCAAAGTGAGTTGAATTTTAGGAGTGTCTAATGCATTTCTTCTTTGCATTGTTTTTGTCTGTCACTGTAACTTGAAATCTTAAATGAGAACAACTTCCTTACTGATAATTTTCAAATAAAATCCAATGCAAAAACGCCTTCTGATGAATCTTATAGAGCTCTGCTGTAATTCAAGCTAATAGTCTTTTTTTTTTCTTTAAGTGAAACTATGGTATCTTTTGTAATAGTAAATAAAAAGACTGATGACATTTTCAAGAACACAGGTAACACTTTAAATGCTAACTCTGCATGGAAGTAACTTTTTTTTTTCTTTCCTCCTTAGTTTTTGTGGGAACAGTATGGATTCTGTGGGAACAGTATGGAATCTTTTTAGGAAGATTTCCTTTCTCTAACATAAAACTTGCTTTTTCTTTGCAGGGCGCCAATGCCTCTGCTTTGGAGAAAGAGATTGGTCCTGAGCAATTCCCAGTGAATGAGCATTACTTTGGCTTGGTCAATGTAAGTGAATTTTCTTTGCTTTAAATGCTATTGTCCTATTAATATCTTAATAAATTTTAAATAAATTTTAAATCTTAAATTTTCAAATTAACAGGATTCTCTTTCAGGGGCTTTGGGTACTTGTGTTGCATAATCGGAATCTGCATAGACACCACATCCTGCCATATGATGCTGTGCCTTGTTGTTTATAACCAAGATAGAAAGCTCAAATACTGGAAGAATATTTATTAGTTTAAAAGGTGTTGAAAGAAGCTTTCCTACTTAGGCACATTTCTAATTATAGGATTGTAATAGTATATTGAAAGGAACATTAAATAATAAAGTATGAATGCTTTTAGAGCATATTTTCTGCTCCTTTTAGAGCAAAAATATTTGATGCGGCACTGATACTATAATGTGTGTAAGCCTTTGTGTTTTTAAAGGAATAGTATGTTTTGGTTTATACCACTCATGGGATTTGTGGTCATCCTCCTATGTGAGGACATAGCCAAGTTTACTTGGCTGGTAATTTGCTAACATGTAGCAATACTCCTTGTTTGATTGCCTCGTATACCAGCAAATCCTTTCAAAATGATTTTTTTAATCTGTTGGTTTGCATACATCTGCCCTGACTAGGATCTGCTGGGCAGTAAGATATGTCTGTCCAAATTAACTGTGGAAAGAATGGAGCATGTGCTTTGGAGGAGAAAGGCAGCTGTTGCTTTTGTTACCAGGGATGCTATTGCTTTATAAGAAATCAGATATAGAAACGGTGGTTCTGTACTGTCCTATTTATGATGTGAATGTACAGTTTTGTCGGAGCTCGCTGTAAAGCCAGGTGTGTTCCTGTTTACTGGTTATCTGGGCACATTTCATAGATCTATTTTATTCACCAAGGAACAAAATGATCTACCTTGTAACACACCAAATAAGGTTAAGATAGCTACCAAAGTGTTAGTTACTGCAGTGCATTAGGATTCATTTAATTGATTTCTGCCTGCGTCTCTAGCAGTTTGTGTTCTTGAACACCAAACTATCTGAAGATATTGAATTATGTTTCTTAAGTATGGTGTTAATGGCCATTCCGAAGCCTCTGAGGTTTGCCCTCTAATGAGAAAAATGGAAGGCATCTCCATTTGTAACATAAATAGCAGTGATGAATACTGTGAAGAAAAAAATAGCGTTCTAAAAATATCCGGACTTGCTTTACTCACATCCATACTCTGTTCAGAAGGACAAAACATGACTAATACTGTTGTGCTTTATTTCTTGCAATCAACTTCTTGGGGGTAATTGTTTTCATACTGCTGTTCTGGAGAGCTTTTTCCTCAGTTATTCCAAGTTCTCTAATGAGAGCTAATAAATGGGAGCACTTTAAGGAATGTAGTTTCGTGTTGTGCACTGCAATCCTACAGCACAAAGCAGTCCCATTTTACTCCTTGTTCAGGTATTGCCACTCTTGTTTCTCCTTTACATCAGTACTAGGAACTGTGCAGAACACATGAAAGGTGCTGAACTCATGGAAGTTGAGGGTTTTGTTTATTTTAAAGGTCGGATTTCTCTTTGGATCAGTGAGCTGGCCCTGACGTCAAACATTTGTAGAGCCACCGCAGTGGGTGGTGTGGGAGAGGGTCTGCCTGCTTCTGTTACCATCCTGTTGTTAAAATGGATTATGTGTAAGGTGAAACAGCAGCATGTGAGGGCTGGAGCAATGCTTTATCTCCAAACTTTGGTCATGCTTTTAAAAAGCCTTTGTCTTAGAGTGTCTTCAGATTTGAATTTCACATTGCAGTTGTAAAATCCTTGAAATTAGATCGTTGCCTCTAAATACAATCAGTTGTAACCAATATATTTTTGGCAACTATTTGAAAAATGTATTTGTACTAGAGAACCCGTGACAAAAAGAGTTGTTAGATCTTATGTGTTTGTACCTGGATTTTCCTCTGTACTTTAGGTCCCCTTAGTCCACATGAATTTTCTATTTGATCTGTGCCTGCCACTGTAGGATGCAAATATTGAGCAGCCTATGGAGAACTGCCATGCCAGCCTGGGTAACCCCAAAGCTGTACATGTTCAGCTGGTGGATTTCATGTGTTTGACACCTTTTCCCCCTGAATGCAGTCCTAGATCTCACCGACTGCTTGTGTTGGAAACTGAGGGTGCACTGTGACCTCCAGGATTTTTAACAGGTTTAATTCCTAGTTTCTTCTGTCTCTTTAAAACATTTTCTGGGATTATTATAGACAAATATATTAGGTAGGATTGCTCCAACTTAAGTACCTAATCACAACAGATCTTTACTGATTTTGGTACTTACTTTGTCTTGCATGCAAATTTAATTACTGTGATGTTTATTCCATTTTTTAGGTCACTAAAAACAGAGGAGTTAGGATCTATCCTAATTCAAATGCTCAGCTTGTATATTTGTTTTGCTCATGTAAATAAGTTTTGACAGTTGTTCTGTGCTGTTTGCATGCAGTGTAAATTAATGTTAATGTATGTATCAGGCTGTAACCTTTTATGCTGTGTGAATTAATTTTCTGTTTCTCTCAGTCAGCAAACTGATTATTAACTTGCAATCATTCTACTACAGTAATTATACCAAAATCTGGTGAACACTACTGGCCATATTCTCTGAGTACCACTTAATATGATTATCCATGCTGTGTAATCAAATTATTTGTAGGTTCATTTTGTTTATTTAAAATATTTTGCTCATGATGCTCTTGAGATCCATTACCAGAATATCTGGGGGCTGGCAAACCTAAAACTCTCCTCTTTTCCTTTTTTTTTTCTTTTTTTCACAGTGCAACAGCAGAATAAATTGCAGAGAAGAAACTTGAGCATGCTCTCTTTCCTTTAGATGATACACTGCTTTAGATGATTTTTCCATGGTTTAAGTGTTAGTCCTTGTTAAGCAATCTGGAACGTTGCCTCTGGAAGTTGTGTTATCACTGCCCTCCTCTCTGTAAAATGACACGGCTTTCAGATAGGGCAGATGCAAAACAGCTGCTCTTTGCATTTGCCTGCATCATGTACTCTTCATAAGATTGCACTGTAAACAGGAAATATTTAACATATACCTTGCTATCTCGAAAGACTAATTTCATCTGACACAGGCAACCTAAAACACAAGTTCATGTGTTGAGCTCTACGTGCCGTAATAGAATTGAGATCTCTTTCCTTTGTTACCTTTTAACAGAGCTAATATGAAAATATTTGTTTTCCTTTTGTTCTGTTTTAACCAGTTCGGCAATACCTGCTACTGCAACTCAGTCTTACAGGCACTTTATTTTTGCCGTCCATTTCGGGAAAAAGTTTTGGCATACAAAGTGCAGCCCCGAAAGAAGGAAAGCCTCCTGACATGCCTCTCTGATCTCTTCAACAGTATTGCTACGCAAAAGAAGAAGGTGGGAGTCATCCCACCCAAGAAATTTATTTCCCGATTGAGGAAAGAAAATGGTAAATGAGTAAATGAAATCCTTACGCAGATTTAAACATTGGCTATTTAAGCATATTAAAGTGTAACCACAATTCTCTTTTTAAGCAAGTCCAAATTGTCAAATTTGAACAGATTTGAGAAATTTTTTTGAACTCTAGCTTATGGTGTGAATTTCACCACCTCTAGAGCATAGGAAGAGAGATTAGATCAGAATTAACTGTGCTCTGCCATAAGAGGATTATCTGGCTATCTTTGTTTCTGTACTTAGACCAAGTACAGCATGTGTACAGAAGTCTCAGCACTCAAGTTATTGTGTGTTGGGCGCAGTGAACTCTATAGCCTGCTGCAGATCTGCCCACTTTGGTCTGTGCCAGAAGTTGTCATGTGCTAAATATTTGTGCAGTTGGTCAAAATTAATGTCTCCAAGGAGGCTTAACTACTTTTAACCTCCTTTCCTACGTTTGTGGTAAGATAAATTCCTTACAGTGAGAGTTGGCGGTTATTTCCCAGCCATAGTGTGTGAAAAAACGTTCTCTTTGATTTATCATTTCTGTTAGGACTTGAAAAGATAACAAAGTTATGATAGCAGGACAATTTTTGCCCCTTGGTGCTGGACTTAATGAACTGGTGGCCCAAGGCAACACACAGGAATATTTCTTTTATTTCTCTTCCTCTCATCAAGGAGGGGAAAACAACAACAACAATAACAACATGTTTTCCTTCCATTCCAAGAAATGCCCAAAGTTTCCTTTATATAATCTTTCAGCTGTCTACCTGTTTATTGCAACCTGAGGAATAGATAGGGGCAATCTAACATCCATTGCTAGGACAACAACAAAATAATTTACCGTCATATAATGGATTAGAGGAGGGGGAAGGACATGCACAGTAATGGGGTATTTTTAAGTATCTGTATTTTTTTTTCATTTCCCTCTTCTCTTTCTTCCCAGAATTGTTTGATAATTATATGCAGCAGGATGCACATGAATTCCTGAACTACCTGCTTAACACTATTGCGGATTTACTACAGGAGGAGAAAAAGCAGGAGAAACAGAATGGCAAACTCCAGAATGGCAGCATTGACAGCGAGGAAGGAGACAAGACTGATCTGACGTGGGTCCATGAAATCTTCCAAGGAACACTAACCAATGAAACCAGATGTCTTAACTGTGAGGCTGTACGTTTAAAACAAAACAAAATCTCTTAGATTTTTTTCAGAGGTTCTGGATCATTTTCCCTAATACTAAGCACACTTTTTCATTTATTAGGATAGATGAAATTGCACTCTATTAAAATATGGAGCATAGCGTATTTTAAGACTGTATCACCTCTATGTACAAACCAATACTCATTAAGGTATGTTTCTCAGAAAAAGCATAGTGTTTTTTTCTATTCCTTCTCCCTGTTTCCTTCAAGGCAGTCTGCACCGGCTGATATGAGCTGCCTTTTTGTCTTCATGTTATTTCTTGTGTCAGTGATTGATAGTTTATGTTGTGTTTATATGTGAGAGTTACTCACAATTTATTTAACTCTGGGATTAACTGAATTTAATAGTCCTTGAAATGAAAGTCCATGCTTCTTAGTGTTGATCCATAGCCACTCTATATGATAGCAAAAGAAGTACCAGGGAGTCTAAAATTAGAAGAACCATAGCACCTTCAGACCAGAAATTTGCAATTACTCACCTGCTGTTTTGATTAAATAATACTACACCTAAAAAGAAAAAAAAAGAAAAAAAGGGCAGATGGGGAGACAAAAAAAAGAAATGACTACAAATGAAGTGAGCACTCTTGGCATTTTGAATCTGAAATTATAGCAATATGGTGAATAGAAACTCTAAAAATAGGGTTAATAAGATTTTGTCTCAAGAATTTTGAGATTAAATGTGGCTGTTGCACAAATGGCAAGATGGTTTCTGTAACTGATATCCCATCCCAGGATTTAGATGAAAATCCAGCTGTCTGTTTCCATGTTTTCTATAAGTATCTACTGTTATACTCTGAAATGATGCAGAAAGCTGTATTAGTCTGCAAAACAGTGGAATACAGTTAAAGCTTCTCCAGCTCCGAGAGCTCTCAGTGGTAGAAACTTGTTTTTGCTGATCAAGTAAGCAGATGTGTCTTGAAGGCTCAAGGGGGAGAGATGTTTTGCAAGGAAGGTCTTAAGTCTTTTCTCTTTTTCCCCCCCTTTTTTTTTAATTACTCCCTTTTGGATTAGAACTGTGGCTCAGATTATTTTTCATTTTTAGTTAACTTCAAGAAAGACCTCTGCGTGTATCTGTAAAATCACAAATCTCTCTGCTTGTAGGCAGGACAGTGCACCATTCCAGGAATTTAAAGCAACTCTTAAAACCTGACAGATTGCAAGCTGTTATGAAATATTTCTTTTTATTTTTTTCAAGGTTAGTAGCAAAGATGAAGACTTTCTGGATCTATCGGTTGATGTGGAACAAAATACATCAATTACACACTGTCTGAGGTAAATGGGAATATTTTGGGATGGAGAAAAAGCTTGACTTGCTCGAAGGGAAGCAGCTGAGTTAGTTGCTCTGTTGTGCTACAACTGTAGGGTTTGAGCTTTTGATAAACTATATTCTGTTCAGAGTGTTGTTTATTTTATTACCATGCTTATTGCATCTGCTATTGGTGGGTTTTAGTAGTTAGTGTGATTTCTTAGGGGCAGGTTAAGAAGAGATTTCACTTTGTTTTATGGGGATTTTAATCTGTTATATCACATAGGTTTTGTCAAAACTAAATATGGTACGTGCGGTTTCATACTGTCATTTTGCTTGTTGTAATACTGTTCCTGCATTTCAGTTGTCTGGTCCTACTTTTTTTTGCTGACACGATTTGCTCCACGTAGCAGCCAGCCAGATCCCCGGCTTATCGGCTGTTGGGATACTGCAAGTTACATGTAGCAGCTGGCGCTGTAAGAGCTGATAACTCGTGTGCAATTACTCAGAGCTAAAAGATGATACAGACTTTGGCCAGTCAGTAGCTGATGGTTATAGGTTCTAAAACTTAAGGTCTAACACCATGTAAAATATGGAATGACTCCTTCTGGAAACCAAACCGGGTTACCTTGGGATTGCTCTGTCTTGTTTGAGTCCTATGCAGAAAGCATGTAGTTGATATCCTGGAGGGTGCCCTTTCCAGGGTTTTCTAGTTGAGCACTATTACCACAGATCAAGGCTGGGACAAATACATCTAAAAAATATTTGGGAGATATGAGCCAGGTGAAAAGAGGGAATTTAATTTTCCCTGTACACTCTTTTCTTGGCAGAACTAGGCGTAGCTTTAAACTGGAGGGTATGACTGAATATCACTGCCTATTTGACTTCTCTTTAACCTTTATTTCTACAGAGGCTTTAGTAATACTGAAACTCTATGCAGTGAATATAAATACTATTGTGAACAGTGCCGCAGTAAACAGGAAGCACAGAAGAGGTAAGGTGTAAGTGCTCGGGCTAATATAAATGTTCTCCTAGTACAGACAACTGTGAATCAAATGAAATCTCTAGAAAGAGATCGTAAGACTACTTGGGTCTGTGAGGAATGGGGGTAAGGAAAAATACCTCTGTGGAGAAAGCAGGTAGCTTTATAGCAGCCTCATAAAGGTTAACTTAGTGCTTCTCCCTGAGGGGCTTGAGTGGTGCTTCCAGACACACTTTCTCCTCCATTCGCATTAATCACCTCTATATGTACTAATAAAAAATGTTAATTGTCACTTAATTCTTGGTAGTGGCCAGAGCCCCAAACCAGAGATTTATTACATCCCCTTCTTTCCCTTGATATGATGAAAATATGAAAAATATGATGTATTGTTATAGGCAAACGGCTGTCTTGCAGTCATGTTTCAGTTATATCCTTAATATTTCCAAATAAATGTTGCCTGTTCTCACCAAAATATATCTGAGAAAGCAACCTTTAATGCATATTCCTCACATTTGTTAAAGGTGTTTTAGGGAGCTTCTCCCAAACATATTGAAATGATTTTAGAGCAAGGCTCTGTTTTAGGTCATCTGCTAATATTTGTTCTTTAACATATTTTTGTGGTTCAGAATGAGAGTGAAAAAGTTGCCCATGATTCTAGCTCTGCACTTAAAAAGGTTCAAATACATGGACCAGCTGCATCGATATACCAAACTCTCCTACCGTGTAGTCTTTCCCTTGGAGCTGCGGCTCTTTAACACTTCAGGAGATGCTACAAACCCTGACAGAATGTATGACCTGGTGGCTGTGGTTGTTCACTGTGGCAGGTATGTCTCTGTGCTCTCTAGCTCCTTAAATACATTTCCTTGAAACTTAAAAGTGAGTCAGACATTTTTCTGCTATTTTATGATAGTACAGTGGCTGACAGTATGGGAGTGTGCTAAGCAGTGTGAGGATTTATATATATATGTATTTATTTCTTTATATATATTTTACTAATAACATTTCAAATTGCTCTTGCAGCAGGTAGTCTCAGGCTTGCTCTTTTAACAGCTCTCATATCCTGGCAATTCAGGCAAGTTGTGTCTATGAGACTTTGGAAAGTAAGAGCAACCCTAAAAAAAAAAAAAAAAAGCCTACTTTCCAGGAAAACTAAATGAATTAAAAGCAAATGTTGGAAAAGCTTTTACTAAATAGAATTAATTTATAGATCCCTTGTTGCCACTTGCTGAATTGTTAAAGGTTTCCTTAGAAGCTGGTGCCACCAAGTGGAATAAACTGCATACTACTCATTTGTTTTAAAACAACTTTATGACCTGTTTAGGGCTTGATTAAAATTTATTTTTGGTATTGTGATTTTAATTCTGTTTTAATATCAAAGAGAAAACAATAAGCACTTTTAAGAAAAAAGCAGTCATGGATGTCAGAGGTAGTATTTAGAGCTGCCATTTGGAACAGTGAATTTTCAAGCTACAGCAAGTTACAGCAGCATGCAAAAGTGTTTTGAAACATCTGTATTGTGAGAGACAAGACATCAGAATCAACACACTGGTGTTGCATTGATTTAGCACAAGAAACCTGTGCAGTTCTGATTTGTTGTGTGCAATTGTGCTATTTTTTGAATTTATTTTTACTGTATTAGGAACCCATCCTGAGGATTTGCTGTAGATTCTTAATTTGCTATACCTGTAGCTATGCTTTTATGTTTTAACAATGTAAAGAAGTGGTGATTAATAATGTTAAATGTTCTGAATGTGTTTTTGTTCTCAAAGCTGTTGTCTTGTATGAGGCTTTCAGGGGTTCTGTGTGACTTCTGGTTTTAATTCTTACAAAGAACTTAATAAAGACTTAAGATAGATTATATTTTCTAATTAATTGACTTTCAGAACTTGTTTTAGATATTTCAGTTTTGAAATTTTACTTTTAATTTTTTGACTCTGAACCAGTTCTATTCTGAGAGATGTATTGTGTTCAAGAGTATCAGTAAATCCAGAGGACTAGAAAAGTAGTTTCTTTTGCATAAAGGCCAGATTAGTATAGCTTGGCTTTTAAAAATATTATTTAGCTCCTAAGCAAAAAGTAAATCCAGAAACATTGAAAAAAATATATTTTTTCTCTTTGTGGCTCTGGATTGCTCTCTCAAAGTCTGAGGTTAGTAGATGGAGAGCTTATATTACAGTAGGCATACACTTCTTATTCAAACTACTTTTTGGGGGGGCTCTCTGTCTGCCTTTGTCTGTTGGTCCCTCTCCCTTTGCATTAGATCATTTTGTTGTCCCTATCCAGCAGGGTAAGCGTTCGGGATGTCGGAGATGGAATCAGACTAGGAGAGTGCCCCAGGACCTGGGACTTGCAGGGAAAAACCACCCCCCTTTAAAAATCTTTATGGTTTTTTTTTTTTTTTTTTTTTTTTTTTTTTTTTTTCATTTGCAGACTTTTTATTTGCAAATGCAAATTTATTTCAGGCAGTTATTAAAAGTTTTGAACAGTAGTCAAAATACTCAACAGTCATGAATGTGACAAAACAGTGATTGAAGTAACTGTTTTTTAATCTTGTCTTTTGAAATATATAAATGACTATCTGAAATATTTATGCAATTGTGTATTTTGAAGAGAACATACTTAGCGATGGAAAAAAACATCTAGTTTTAATTTGAACAGTTTAGAGAAGTCTAAGAAGCTAAACAGTCTTATGGGTAATAGGAGACAATATTCAAAGCTGGTAAGTCTCACTTTGCCAGGAAGGCCTAGAAAAATTTGGGAGAGCAGAGGATCCTGCCTTTGCAGGCACAAGATTAATACATCTTCAATCCTTTCTCTGGCAGTGGTCCAAACCGTGGACATTATATCACCATTGTGAAGAGCCATGGCTTTTGGTTGCTGTTTGATGATGACATTGTAGAGGTGGGTATTGCTTTTCCATAGTGAGAACAGTGCAGACAGCATCGTCCTCAGCTCCCTCCACAGCTGGCAAAGCAACCTGAGGGCTCTAGTGACAGCTAGGACCTAGGGTGATGTGCAGCTGTTCAGTCTAAAATACTTCAGGGACCTTGTTGATCGCATCAAATCTTTAAATTTTGGCCTGCCTCTGGGCTTCATTTTGTTATTTAACTTGCTTTATGATGGCCGTATTGCATTGCTACAGTAAGATATTTCAGCTTTACTTAACAGTGGACCACAACAAATAGGATTGTATAAAGAGTGTTAAAAGACTGGGAGGTATGGGCTGTGGTGGTTAGATCCTAAGGATATATGTAGGAGTTTGGACCACTGGTGATTATTTTTAAAAAGTCTGCTCCGATAAGCTTTTTCTTGACTTTTCCATTAACTTATCTGTAAATAGTAATGTCCAAAAATTTACACATCCATATGTTTCACATAGTTGTTAAGCAAATGTCAAGTACCACATTAGAACTGCTCACTGTAAGGATGAAAATGTACTGTTTGCCTCTGAGATTTTATGATCAGATTCAAGGCCCAGTGCTAAGTATCTAAATGGGTACAGCAAAATCCTTGCTTATGCTGAAATCTTTGCTTGTGCTGAAGAAAGATGTTATAGTAATTTCCCCCTTTTAAAATCTTTGGCTAATTTTTGAGCATTAGGGGTGCTTACCTAGTGATATGGACAACTTGTGTGACTATGGCAAGTTGTCTGTCCTGTTTTATTAAATTCTGAGTGTTAATTTCCTCTGTCATAGCTGGCGTACGTGATTGTGTCACGTAATTTTTAAAATAAGGTTCACTTTAATATTATAAATGTAAGTATGCACTGTATTTTCCATTCAGGAAATAAGTCTGTCATTTTAAAAGTAGCTGCAAAAAACGTCTTGCTGTTCTATATTTGTTTTCTGTCAATCACTTCTATGTTGTATCTTAGCTTATAGGTCAAAACAAAATTTCTTTTTATCTGCAAACACTGTTGGCAGTTTTATAGATGCATCATCATAGAGCTTTTACATGTGTGCTGTCTGGTATTGGATAATAAATTCAAGGAGCTGTCACAAGGAAGATAGGATGCAGTTTTTCTGTCTTGAAGGGTTGCTTTTTTCTTAAGTTGCTTTTCTAGGTTCAGTCATGGCTTTTTTTTTTCCCCAATTTCATTTTTCTTTTACATAGTTCACTTAAAATGCTGCAGAAATGAAGTGCTTTGATCTGAATTTTCTACTTTTTGTGTTTTTTAGTGTTTTCCTTTGAGATTTTGCCCCCCTGGTTAGGGTTAGGAATGCTAAATATAGTCCAGTCCTATGGCACTCCCTGTGCCCCAGCTGCAGCTCTGGAAGCTGCAGATTCATTTTGCAGCTAGAAGGCTTTGCCTGGCTACTGTGTGCTCATGTTGTTTGTTTTCTATAAAATTTGGGCTTTGTTTCTCTTCATTATGGTGGGCATGGAAAATTGCACGAGAGTTTTGCATGAGTCTTCGGAGATCGCTGGGCCTTTGATAGGCAAAAAGTTGCTCCTTGAACCACTTCAGAGAGTGTCACGTAAGGATTCCTGTTTTTTTTGGGATCTTTTCAGTGACTATCCATCGTATCCACGCCTGCCTTCTAGGCGTCTGATAGACGGGAAGCTCTCGCCCTCCTCTGCCTAGGCAGCATCAGCTTTTCTCTTTCCTAGGCTCTCTAGAAGTCACCTGAATTTCTGTAGATTCAGTGATCAAGGGGAACAGGAGAGCGGAGGCTGCTTCTCTTCTGCCCATCATACCAGCTCCTTGGAGAAGTAGCTGCAGTTTTGCTCATCTGTTCTCTCTCTCCCCACTTATCCTCAGCTCTGGAGACTTAGTTCCTTATCACTGCTCTGGCTTTTACTGAAAAAATAAAGTGAAGCTGCAGCTACTGTTGCCCACGGAGATATAAATATTTATTCCAAAGATGAGCAAGTACTATTTTCAGAATGTCTTGGAAGTGTATTGCTCTGTGTCACATTAGTTGTTCTCAGAGGTTGGGTGACTCCAAACCCCGCTAAGATGTGCATTCTGCAGATGTTTGAGGGCTCACCAGGGAAGCCTTTTGCTCTTCAGAGGCTAGGAGAACGTACAAACAATTTTAGTCTATTAAGCTTTGGACACTTAACTTTCTATCTACAAACCGACACATAGTGGAACAAGTATCAGTCAGCAGACTTGAGAAGTGGATTCTGAGCTCACATAGTTCAGGGGTAGAGATACTGAAAGTGAAACACAGCACAGGAAAAAACATTGGCTTTCCTCTTCCTTCCAGTGAAGAGATTTGTTGCGAGTGATACAAATAGCTCTGAAGTGTCAACAGGAAGTGTTGTGTGCTGCCCTGGAAGCCTTAGTCTTGCTCTTACTCCCTACTTACTCTTACTAGTGCCATGGAAGTACTAAAGTCACATTTATCTGTTTGGGCTTGGTTGGAAGGCCAGTCTTGAATTAAAATTGAAGATAGATGATAATGAAACATGCTTCAGTGCATGTGAAAAGCAATTGCACCAAATTCAGGAGACAAATCAAATTAAAGGTGATAGTGTTCCAAGTAAAGGAATGAAGAAACCTGAATAACTGATCTCTGGTTAGTTGTTTAAGTTGTCATTAGAGTAACTGAGTGATGCATCACATTGACTGTGTTTACCTGAAAGGGGAGAAGTGTCTAGCCAAGGTGTTCTTCGAACTGAGAAAAGGGCAAAAATGCTTGTATGTCTTAGCTGAATGCTGCAAATCTCTGAACAAATTTTTAGGCTGAATGTTGTGAGGGGTACACAAGGAAGAGATTTGGTTTTGGAAGCCCAAGTAATTGTGTAGAAACGAACCAAGGAAATTAAAGCTTGGTGACATGAAAAATCATCTTAATGCCAGGTGAGGCTATGCAGCCCTAAAAGCAGATGTGAAATGACTGACTGATTGTCACTTAAAAATGGCAGCTGGGTAAAACTTTGCTACGTGTGTTGCAGAGAGCAAACTAAGGATGGTGGAAGAGTGAAGTCCATGTAATCATCTTTCACTTCCATTGTGTGGATAATGGAATGCAGAAAGGGAGTCAGTTTGCCATAATAAAATACCTGGAGAAGGAGTTAATCTATATAAAATGTTTGAATTGCATTCAGAATGAGTGGAAGTGGTAGTGGAAATAGACTTCATTGCGTGTCAAATTAGTAAAATATTTGAATTGTCAGCTAAATACATCATAAGTACTAAAAACTTTTTTTTTTGCTCTTTTTCCATTAAAATATGTTTCTAACAATTTTCAGTGGACATTCATCATGTTAATAAACTGTGTGGAAATCCTCAAGCCCCCACTGTAGTAGCGCAACTTCAATAAAGTGCTCAAAGGGAGAGAGAAAACAACAGCGTCTGATTCCCCACATCACCACCCCACCCATGGCTGAAACCAAAACTGTTCCAGGGAGAAATATCTGCTGTTACATCTTGGAATTTATGTATCTTGCAGCAGCCTTGAGCAGCGGTTCACCAGGTGCCTCCTGCAGCCGGAGCACGGTCCTTCCCTCTGAAAACTTTGCAGAGGTTGCTCTCTGCTATTCCCTTCACAGTCAAAACAGTGCAGTTATAAGAGAGACGCTGAGATGGTTACATATTCCGTACATTTTTGTTGTTATTTCATCCGTTGTATTCTTTGGAGAATAAAAGAAAAGATTCTCTGTTATTTCTAGGCCAGTCTCCCATTGGTCCTGCACATCAAAGTCTTGCTATTTTAGCATGTTGCCTCTGCGGATCTAGAGTCTAAAGGTGTTTTCAAACACCTCAGTGGACTGCTGAGTAATACAGGTCAGGGGGAGTATTTTATTTCAGTGCTGCAATCTCTGTCACAGAATCAAATTCAGTAATGTGAAACCAATTGTTCTGAGGTTTTAGATCAAGACCATGCAACTGGTGTCTTTAAAACATAATGCCCTATGGGCCTGGCTGCTTGGAGTATGAGAGGAAGCCTGCTTTTCTGCACTTCAAATATAAGCAAGGCAATTATTTCTGTTAATAGGGAGAACAATTTATCTTAAAGCACAAACCCTGTCTCAGCAATCTGATCATCATTGTACCAGCAAATCATAATGCAAGGAAAGCACTCAAAGCTAGATGGTTGTCGGATGTAGTCCACATGCTTCGGGGTATAGTCACTAGGTGCTGTTGCAGGACTTTTCCAGATAAGAGAACCTCAAGAATTTTGAAGTGGAGAAAATGTTTGTTCTATCTATTTGCTCTATTAATACTGTGTGGCTTTCCAGCATCACCCCTGAAAGAATGAGAATGAAATTTGGGAAGGGGATTCTTAAAGTGGTATTTTAACTGAGCCTAATTCTAACTCTTATTAACTTTCAGAAAATCGATGCCCAGGCTATTGAAGAATTCTATGGGTTAACATCAGACATTTCCAAAAACTCAGAATCTGGATATATCCTCTTCTACCAGTCAAGAGACTAAGAAAAAAGATAAATGTGTAAAAATAAAAGGAAAAAAAAAAAAAAAAAAGGGGATCAACATATGTCCAAATGGAGCGTATTTGTGACAGCAGAAGCAGTTCCTCGTTGTTGTTGTAGGACCAGGACAGATCCAGCAGGGTGAATAAAGTTTTCTCTCTGCCATTTCTTGGAGGATGAGTGCTGACTGCCGTAACAAGAAGAGCTTTTGCTCCAGTTTTCTTTCTGGGCTTTTTTTTTTACATGCTATCTTCCAAAATCTGTGTTACCTCTACTTGAAACCTGGCTGCTTATTTGTTCATGAACTGAAGAAGAGTTTTAAAAGTAGCTTTGTAGAATTTTTACCGTTTAATGTTGGGCTCAGGCTATACCTTTGTTTCTATCATCATCGTTTTTCTGTATTTTAGCAGAATGATTTCAATATTCAGTGTCAGCTGAAGGCATATTTTAGGATATGAACAGCAGCTGGTTGCTGGATATTTTTGGTGACTCAGACTTGAGAATCAGTACAAAGCTAAGACATATTGGAAATGTCAAGTCTGTAATTTAAAAAGAAAAAAAAAGACAAAAAACTCTCCCTGCAGCATTGTAAGTTCCCCATTATGCATTATCTTGGTTTTAGGTAACACTAATAGCACTGTTTCTTTTTATATTTTATTTTTCATTGTTCTGTTTCTCTTATTCAGGAGGTATAGAACTTTATCCATATTCAGCCTGATCTATTGTACCTTTTTCTTTTGTAGCAGAAGTTTAGATACAGAAAGACATTGCTGCAGATTCAAGGAAAGTGGAAAATCAATTATGTTTTGAAGAATATGTTTGGCAACCAGTTGCTGTAGGAAGTTTGAATTTACAGCATTTCTTGGAGCTATTGCATAAACCCAAAGTGCCCTCTTTCTGGAACAGAATCTGTTCAACATTTCACTCAATACCTAGTAAACTGATGCAACTAGCAATTGAATCTATGCTAACACACAGAAACAGCACTGATTGTGAAGGCTTAACCAAGGGAAGTATTATTTACATAACTAATCTAGTTGTTCTTAATCTTCAAGAGAATGATGTCAAAGAATGAAAAAAAAAAAAAAAAAAAAAAAAAAAAAAACCTTGACATTACTGTGCTAAATGTTGCTCATCCTCCTTTGGTGATGCTTGTGTTGACCTGGGAATCGTAACCCCCTGAAAATACTTCTGATTGTTTTACCTCTATAGGCCTTGCTTTACGGAGGAGAGTATGTTAGTCTTTTGAAGACTGAATTTAAGTAATTATCCGTTATGCGTGTATATATTATAACCTCAAGGATAACTAGAATGAAAGGACTAAGGGAGTTTGTAAGAAATCTCTGAAAACTTTGCTTAATTTTCTTTTCTGAAAAGTCCTGTTACTGTGCCAAAGCGTGTTGCAGCTGGCTCTAAACTTCCAGTGGAAAATACCATTTTTTTTGCTTTCTTCAGTCTCGTTAGAGATCACAAGAGCTGTCTTCTGTGTGGTTGTGCCTACTCCAGCTGCCCCTACGTACACTAGTGCTTCTTGCTCCTGAGGACATTTAACTTATGCAATTTTGTGGCTTGTACAGGATATAGAATATTATACCAAAATACTGTCCTCAGGAAAACAGCAGCTCACAAACAGTTTCTTGTGGTGTCTCTACGTACCTGTGTTTCCTTACCATGACCAGAAACATCTTGTTAGCAAGTAACTCCTCTCTTCAGAATACAAATTGGTCGTTATTGCCATGTTCCTGTAGGGTGCAGGTCCTGTTCTCTCTGCACATCTCCTCCTCCAGCAGATACAACGCGGAGGTTTGTTTTAATTACACAGAGTACTGTCGTTTGAAGAGGCATACTGAATAACAGCAAACCTTTTGTCATCTTGTTCCTACTGTGTGAAAATTGTTCTTGGCTAAGAGTCCTCTCCCCATGTTCGTGCACAAGTCATAAGTCCTCCCTTGTGGCGCCAACAGAAGTCTGTCATCAGTAAGTCTAGCAAAAAATAAAAAAGCACTGAGTTAAAAATAATCTAAACAGTAAATACAAAACTTAATGTAGTACACTAGACATGTATTTTGTATATCTGGCGTTACATTTTTACACATAAAATACCTGATTGAGAGAGAATATTGAAAGATATATACTATAGATTAAAAACTGTTAAAAGTGCACTTTTGCTACAGATTTATAAGGAAGCTAAAAGGAATTAAATTGGAAGAGAATGGTGTGATGTTACTTCTGTATAATAAATGACCCCACCTGTCTCCAATAAAGGTCATGGATGGTCAAAAGCACATGGCCCACCTGCTTTCCTTGGGTTTCAATCAGGAGCAGAAATAAAATAAGTGGTTAGTCAGCGGCTCTCCCCAGTTCCTCTCGGCATGTTGGCTGGCTGAGTGCTTCTGACTAGTAGATTTTTCGTGCGTAAAACCTCTGCGTAAGCAGTTGGAGATAAATAATTCAGCACTGCACAGGGAAGGGGGCGCTGGGAGAGCGAGGGGCGCTTGCCCAGCACCCGGACCCGGCACCTTCCCACCACCCGTGTTCCCAGCCTCCTCCTCCGCCCCTTTGCTCTGCTGTTTCTGTTCCCTACTATTTCCTTTTCCCTTATCTCTTCTTTACCCCTGGCTGTTGGACTCTGTAAGTCTGATTTGGAACAAAAACACTTAAAACCGCAGATAGCGCTGCATGTTTGGAGCTTTTTAGGTTCATCGCAGGGCAGGGCTTCATTTCTGTGCCCAGCTGGTTGCTTTTCACCGACGTGTGGTTGTGTTTGTCTCGGTCGCTTTGGTCTCTGCCGGCGCGTGGAGCGGCGCGCGGGTGAGGAGCCCCCGTGCAGCAGGCACAGGCTGCTCCCCCTCCTGCAGATCCTCCTCTTTGCGGGGAGCTGCTGCCCTGCGCGCTGCAGAAACGGGGATGGGTTGTGAACGGGTGTCCGGACTGTTCCGGGTAGCAGCAGGAGCGTTTAATGTCACCGTGCCAGCTCGGTTTAGGATGTGTTCAAAACAAATCACGTTTGATTGGTACCAGAAAGAACACAGGCTAGCAAAGCCCCTGAGACAAGCAAAACCTTCCCGTTGCAGTCCCTGGCCTCCATCAGAAGGAAGCCATCCTCTGAAACACAACCAATTCCCCACATGTGAAGCCTTGCTGGTGTTTGCAGCCCACCTGAACCCATGTGTCTGCTTCCGTCTCCTGTTTGGCTGCCCCTGGCAGCTGCAGAGCGGGCTCAGATGCCTGTGGGACATAGTCCTGAGCATGTAAGGCTAAAAGGGCAGCAGTTACAGGGCTTCCTTCAAAAGGGCCCCAGTGGCTTGGGGACATAAAGCAAGGAGATTGTGGTGGTGGTGGTGCTGCAGTGATGTGTAATGTGGCGATTCTGGCCCAAAATGAAGAGACTTGTCTGAAAACAGGACCCTGGCGCTGGGCAGAGGTGAGGAAGCCGTTTCTTTTCCTTTCGTGGCTGTGGACACAAAGGAAAATAGGAGGTAGTTTTCAGTAGGAGTTAAGCAACTTCCACTGTAATTAAGTGGCCTAATTAGCACTCGAGTCGTGCGTGTGTTTCCCTTCGTGAGAAGTAGCCTACATACGCGGTGAGTCAGCAGCGCTGTAGAGCTGAAAACGGGGACGGGGTGGCTGTGATCCATGGTGCCTGAACTCCCGAAGCCGTGCAGGAAAGGAGGGATGCTCCGAAGGAGCCAGAAGGCACTGCGGTCACTCACAAAGCAGCTTGACCCCAAAGCTTGGATTTCCTGGGGAGACCTCATCTTGCCTCTGTGGTATCACCTAGGTCTGAGTCAGATGAGCGCCGCAAAGGCCATTCCTTCGCCTCTAAGCAGTGCGTGGTTTGCAAGGTGCTTTGCCCAAGGATTGGGAAAAAATCCTGCTTGCAGCAGCTCCGGAGAGCCAGGACTCTGGTTTCGGCAACGCAGCCCTGTCACTGGTGGCCCCTGGCTCTGCTTATCCCTGCTCCTCCCTGTGTGTGTTGAGGGGGCTGGAGCCCAGCTCTGCTTCCAGGGGAAGAATAAAGGGCCCTTTTTGTTTGTTTGTTTTGGGTTTTTTTTTGCCTTTGGGAAAGCTCCATCATGGCGAGCCCTGCTCGTGGCTGTGCCGCTCGCTCTCGCTCCTTGCAGCTCGCTGCGGCCGCGCTCCGTCCGCGCAGGCCGGCTGGGCCCGGCCCGGCCTCGCAAAGCGCGTGCTGGGAGCCCAAGGTGCCCTGCCTGCCAGAGAAACGTCGGGAGGCAGCGCCGTCCTGCACGGATCCACAGAGACGCCGGCCTTTTCCTCACGGCTCTTCCTCCCGCTTATATCTTCCCCCTTAAAAAAAAGCAACCAAAAAGAAACCCCACAGAAAATCAGCCCCAATGGCTTCTCTGTCTTCTTCTTCCAAAGCCATGGAGCTGCTGGGGGATGACAGGTAGTCAGAGCCTCCCCAGGCTCATCCTGTGCTTCCCGGGGGGTTATATATTCCTGCCCACATCCCTGATTGCTCATGGAGACTTTTTATGTCACACAAACATCCCCAAATTCTGATTCCAGCCCTCCAAGGAGCAGGCACTTTCTGGGAAATCTGCACTCAAAATCTTCCCAACCCAAAGCATCACCAGGACCCCAAACCATCAGAGCAGGGGTCTATGTGGCAGTGGCTGGAGGGGGGCCGTGCCCCCAGGGTGCCCCTGGGTTCATCCCTTGGGTGTCCATGCAGAGCCCCTCGCGTGGCCATTGACTCCCTCCCCTCCGTATGCAGCAGCTAAGGAGCTAAATAAAGCAGCTCTGCAGAGGGACCTGCTGGCAGGGGAAGCTGCTCAGGGGAGTCAATCAAACCTGCGCGCCCGCCTCCCCGCTCTCCCGCGCGGTGCGTAGTGAGCGCGAGCGGCAGCGAGTTCATTGAGCTGACGGGGCCGCCGTTCCTCCCGCCCCTGCCCATGCGGCCAGGCTGGCCGAGTCACGCGGCCCCCTGCGCCAGGTAGATGATGATTCAATTCCCCTCGGACGGGCTGCGGCCGCTATTGGCAGCCAGAGGCTCCAAAGTGGGGCACTGGGTTTCCAAGAGAAGCGCCGACACAGCCCCAAATGTCTTTGCCGGGTTGGTGCTGAAAACCCTCCCTAGCAGCCCTCAGAGATCCAGCCTGGAGGACAGGGGGGATGAAGGAGTAAAGCTGGAGCATTACCAGTGTGAAAGGGGGAGAAGTTGTATCCGAAATAGCCCTAATCCGCAAGCTGAGCATCCTTGCTCAGAAAATCGAGCATCCTCCACGAGTCGCTGAACCGTTTGCGGCCACAAAAAACAGTGCCTTTGGGATTTCTTCAGAGGTCAATCCTTCTCTGAGTGGCTGGAATAGGGAAGGAGCAAAGGAGCAGCCTCCTCCTCAGGCATAGGAAGCCGTGGATGCTGCGGCAGCGCATCCGAGCGCATCCCCCCCGCCCCTGCTTCCCATCACCAGCTCCCTCAGCACAGGCGGTAAAAATAAACCGGGCGCTTTGTGAGCCGCGGGGCCTGGCTGGCGCCCAGCGCCACAGCCGCGGAGCGCAGGTGCGAAGGGCGCCGACCTTGAGGCGGTT